AGACAACCACCGAAATATTGGAAAGATTATGTATTTTTCTAGGAGGGAAGGAGTTGTCGTGTCTTATCTCACCATGGTTTGTAAAGGTCACATCAAGTGCAGCACCTGAGGACTTGGCTGCTCAATATATAAGCTGAGAAACCGCGGGCACCTGCTCTCTTTTGGCCCTGTTCTGTACATACGAATATATACATCAAATAAATATGTAATGTGTTAAGCCTTGTATCTATTTAATTCCTCAGACACTATTACTGGAATATTCTTGAACTATTCAGTAAGATTTGTGGGATTCTTGCAAGATGGGAAAACATTTATAAAACAATACTAAACAATAGATGTTGAATGGTCAGGAAAATGAGTGATACTGGACATGCTAAAAAATAATAAAATAAAATAAACAACAGTTGATTGCATTCTGACAAAATATCAAGCTATCAGAAAGGTTTGTCTAATTGGGTACCAAAATAATACTGACATTTGAACAAAGATTGATTAGATAGACATATCATTAACCTCTTTAGTATAGCAAACACCATTATGTATATTAGTGGTTTCCAACAGAAATTGTTGTTGTTTTTTTCCAAAATTTCTGTACCTCCACCCCCTCTTTTTCAGAAAAAAATTTTTGTGCCTCCCTTAATTTTTGTAACAATCTAATTTCACAAATACTGTCCTTATAATCAATTTAATGGTTTAGAAAACAATATACCTTATAAAATAAAATATATTGTCCACCAGAGTGCAACTCTTCTCGAGACATTTCAGCCGAGAGTTTGAGACGAGAATTGTTAGCATTCGTATCCAAGTAGTTTGGACAAGGGTTGTGAATTAGGCATAACAGTTTAGCTGATCCATTTTTTTCAACATTGATCTGACTTTTTGTTTGTATTAAAAAATGATAATTTGGTAAAAGCTGTGTGCCCCCTTGCAATAATCTTGTGTCTCACTAGGGAGCATGCCCCACAGATTGGAAAACTGATGTATATTATAAAGATAAATTAATTACAGTACTTAGCTTTAATTAATGTCATGTATTAATGTGATGTAGTATGGAAGTTATAACGTTCCTGTTTTATAATTTTATTTACTTTAATTTTTTATTTTAATTGTTTTAATTTGTTAATTTATATCCTATATTTTTCTTTAATTTTGAAATGCTAAAAACATTCTACAGATTTAAATATATGTATGAAATACTACATATATTTTGCATTCCAAAATTCTTCTTTTTGAAAGAATTAATTATGATCATAATAAAGACCAAACTGTCATCACATCTATTACACAAAGAGTTAAACATCTGGTTAGTAGTGACAGTGTTGAGTATTCATAGTCTAAGTTCAGGTACCTGCTTAGTCCAAAGATCCTTATTCTCTTCTACTATTCTACAGTATATAACAGACCATTCCATAATTTTTACACATTCAAGTATTTTTATCTATTTTATCTTAATTCTTAGTGTCTTTTAAAGGAAATTCCAATAGGTTATTTTGATTTAATTCTATTCAATGTGTAAGAGCTTTGTCATTTTAATACATCATTCTTGTTCAAAGCTAACTTCCTGAAGATAACATTTTTAAACAAGTCAAAAATATTCACATCTTAGATATTTATTTATTAAAATGGATGATTTTAACATTAAATACTGTTATTAATTTATCTTTGTAATATCTTGCAACAACCTTGCATTGTTGAAGTCAATCCTGAAGAAATTTTGCAATGATTTGTAACCATAGATGAAGTGTCCGTAAAACAAACAATAACTCATTAACGCATATAATTAGCTTTATTATAACAGAAACGTAACTATGTGGTAATACAAACGTAACATAAGCCTCCAGGTCTAAGTGTTACAACAGCTAATGCACGATTGACTTGAGACAAAGGAATATGACAAAGGTCAGAGGTGCGGGGGTCACCTAAGTAGGTCAAGGGGCAATTCAGTGTGGATTATCCCCTGAAGGTTTACATACATAACAATAGATCAAACTTTGACTTTGATATAAAGTGGTAAACCAAAGCAACAATCAAAATAATGAAAGCATGTTGGTTCAGCTACACAAAAGAAAGTTGTGATATTTAAGAAAGGATTTCATTGACTGACTGTGTGTTTATACCCAGGAAAAAACACACATCAAGGGGGGTATTAATTAACAGTTACTCAATTCCAGTTGTTGTTAGAACAATTTCAAAAATTATCATGATTTGTACAAAATAAACTAAAAATAATAATTACAAAAAATTTCTCCTTAACACTTATTTTTACCAAAAAAGGAAATAAAAGATAGGGGCAAGAAGTAGAGAAGATGGTGAATAGGATAGGAAAGAATACCCAAATAGTGCAAATGTTGTTTGGTTACCATGAGGGGTCACACGGAAACTTCTTAAACACAAAATTCTTGCTTCTCGGGACATTCCAATTTTCAACGCTGACTCAGCGCTGATCTCAACGCTCATTAAAATTCGTTCCTTTTTTCAACGTTGAGGTAGCGCTGTTGTCAGCACTGACTCAACACACTCAGCACTCAACAGATATGTTGACTGCTACTTTACAATGAATTGTGGGTAATTGGAGCGACATTTGAATGAAAAATGGTGACCACGCAGGAGATGCACGTTACTGTGGATGGAAAAAGTTATAACTTTGTGGTAGATGAAAAAACTGGAAGAATGATGATGGAAGGTAAGATTTTAAAAAATTGAATATCATTTCAAGTAAGCAATAAATTTATTTTTCATTGTTTTTGTCAGATCACAATTATTTACTGGCATTTATAAATAAGCATCGATGTGAGAACGAGAAGAGTTCATCTACAGGTACTGTACATATTTTATATTAATAACAAATTGAATGTTGTATTTAACCAAATAGATAATTATTGTTTTCATAAATTTTAATGAAATTCCTCTATTTTATTTTTTACATATATATTCAATGATAGAACAATCATCATCTGAAAGAACAGAAAAAACAAATGTACAACTTTCAGAAACAGAAAAAATTGGTAAGTACAACAAATTGAATGTTGTATTTAACCAAATAGATTATTGTTTTTATGAATTTTAATGTAATTCCTCTATTTTATTTTTTACATATATATTCAATGATAGAACAATCATCATCTGAAAGATCACAAAAAACAAATGTACAACTTTCAGAAACAGAAAAAATTGGTAAGTATATATTAAATAATTTGTAATTATTATATATTGAGATTTTCTTTTAATTAATGCAATTCAAATTGAACAAATAAACATATATAAACATACATGACCAAATACTGTATGAAATAAGGGAAAAAAATCTGGCAACATCAGGAGCAGAAGCATCGCGATCTGGCAACATTGAAACAAGTTTCGAGAAGGACCATGTGTATGGACAGAAGGCGAGAAAAGAAAATTTACATACTTAAGTACTAATAATTCACGAAAATTATTATTTTCGTGAACTATTATTACTTAAGTATGTAAAAATTTATTACATTTCATGTTGTAGGAGGGTTTTACCCAATTCTCGAACCGTGTCAGAGTGAAACCGTGCTATAACAGTACCGTGTTATACGGTACTGTTATAGCACGGTACCAATTCTCGAACCGGGGTGGTACCAATTCTCGAACCGTGTTAGAGTGAATCCATGCTATAGAAGTGCCGTGTTATACGGGGGTTACCTGTAATTAGTTAAATGGCCTAGGAGCGTATAGCAAACAAACATCTTCATTTATATATACACTAGCAGATGAGCCTGGCATTGCTCGGGCATAAAGTAGCGATAGCAAAGATTAAGATTATTAGATTATAGCCAATCTTATTTGTTTTCACCAGGTGCAGGATTTAGGTCTCCCTCTTCCAAGACTAATAATAGAATTTTTACATGGTCTAAAAATATGTTCAATTTTCTGCAAAAATGCAAAAAAAAAAACTGCATCTAAAATAGTACAGTAAAGCCAAGATTTTTAAAAATAATCCTTAACTCTCTCCCTCTCCTCTGCAGGGATAATTTCCAAAAATCCCTTTTTAGTGTGCATTCTCAAGGAATATACTACTAAATGCAGTCAAAAAAAAAATTGATTAAAATTATTATTGAATTCTAACTGAATATATCTTTAGTATTCGAAAAGATTTTTTTATTTAAATAACCTATAAAATAAAATAAAATCAGAAAATTTCTCATTATAATGGATAATAAACTTACTTGATTATAATTTTACTTGAATTATATGATTAATTTTAAATTCTAAAATCTAAAAAAAACTTGTTTGGAACTTTATATTTCCAATTCACTTTTTCGAATTTGGAACAAATTCAAATACTCGTTCGAATTTGTGTATTTTGGATTTATTGTTTGGGTTACCGAAAAGTAAAAATGATTAAAATATCTATTAATTGCCAAAATGTATACTATATGTGCCACTATTTACTTTCCTTCTTTATTATTTAAACTTTAACCTGACTAAAACTAACTCTTTCCTCCTCTTCCCTTGAGGGGGGTTGGAATTTCCAAAAATCCCTTTTTAGTGTGCATTCTCATAGCATAACCTATTAAAACAGTTAAAAACATAAAATCACATCTAAAATACTACAATAGAAGCTGAGTTCTTCAAGGTAATCCTTAACCCTCTACCTCTCCCCCACGGGAATTTCCAAAAAAGTTTTATTAGGGTGCATTCACATGGCATACTCTACTAAAATGCAGTTAAAAATAAAAAATTGCATCTAAAATAGTACAGTAGAAGCTCAGTTATTTAGGATAAGACTTAATCCTCTCCCCCCACAGAGGAAATTTCAAAAATCCCTTCTTAGTGTACATTCTTGTGATACCCTAAGTGTGTGTACTCTAAGTGTGTGTACTCTGTGTGTACCCTAAGTGTGTACCAAATTTCAACTTTCAACTCCTAACCATTTGGGCTCTGCACTTATTATTATTATTATCATTATCAAACCATCTCGATTTGTAGATATAATTCTTATAATGTAAACATATTTTATAAAAAATACTTACATTTTTATGATTAACAAGTTTCATTAATTTAAATTCCCTGTAGGCTCGTTTTGCATGAGTAACATTTTGGAAAGGTCTGCTGAGTTTTTTAATAGCTACATTCTGTCTTGTAACAGTATCATATGCAGCACTGAAATAAATAAATTTAATGTATAAATTTATTAACTTTGTAAAATGAAAAATACATCGTATCTTTAATCAGACAAATATCCAGTTGCTCCAAATGCTTTAAACCTGAGATTTCCTGTACTGGTTGGATTATAGAGAGAGTGTTATAACTGGGCAGGAGCAACAAGATCACAGGCAAAGACCAGGGATAAAGGGAGCCTCAAAATAGAACTAACAAAACAAAATTCAATTATATTGTATTATTATTTTGTTTACACAAATATGTGAATGATCTTATATATTTCTTGTACACATAAATTATTAAGAAAAAACTGTTTTATCATATCTGTTTTATTATTCTATGTATGTCTGTCTCTCTGTCTGTCTTTCTCATTTTGAGGAATAGAGAAAATTGAGGTAAAGCTGTCATCCATTTTTATGACATTCAACATCATCTTTACGGCAATAGCCAAAGCAAACAACATATAATTATAAGAAGAACCATATAATATACAATTCCTAAGAAAGGAGAAAGACAAACAAAATATACATAAAATACCTGGTATTTATTAGGTACAATTACAAAATAAGAAAATATAACATGAAAATGATAGTGGTGACAAGTTACTTCAATATATTAAAGTAAAATCTCACTCTTTTTAGTACATTTAGGGCGACCATAAATTGAAAATATGACAATGGAACACTAAAATTTTTTTCATGCCAAAATTTTTTTTGAAACTTTTGGAAAAATACTTGTTATAATAAGAAAACATCATTTTGTGGATAGTTTTTATTGAAAATTATGTAATTACAACAGTTTGTTCATTGAAACAATTTTTCATTGAAATAATATTTTAATAAATTATTTTAAATAAGGCAATACATTAAAAATTAATTGCATTTTAACAAATGTTTTGGTTGTCATATAACTTTGTTTTATTTGATAATTGTATGAAATTTAATCAAAATTAAAACTAATTCTAGAAAATCTGCAAAATTTAGATTGTGTAAAATATGTTACATAATTATTTAAAATATTCCTTTATTTTCACTTGTCTTGAATTTACACTACAAAGTATATATCATCACAGCTTGCTTTGAAAATGACAAAAATATCTGAAATTTATCTAAATCTACTATCCAAAAGTGTGATTCTGTTTTGAATTGGTGATGACAATAAATGGCACTTACTATGAGGTTACTTTACTTTTATATTCTCAGGAATATAGGTGATAAAGCTAAGATAAACTAAAACAATAGAAATTGTAATACATGCTTGATATTGTAATATGAACAATACCAAACATGTTGTCAACTTTTACTATTTTTAACAATTACTATTGACAACTTTAAACACTGTTGTCAATAGTAATTTTCATAAAATGATTTGAGGTTATAGAGGTACAGTTGCCACAGCTGATTTCACCAAGACACATGAAGTCATTCAAGCTCTCAAACAACATTGGTCAAAATATACCAATTGTGACAAATATAAAAATAAAGGAATATGGGACATTTAAGTATCCTGATAACCTTTGATGGGACAATGGGACATCTTGTCACCCTATGCATATGAGAACATGAATTGGGCATCAAGAGAGGCATTCATACCATGACATTGGTCACTTATGCAGCAGACCTGCTGATTGTTGTACAACTAAACAATGCCTCTAAAATCTTGCCAATATTGGAAATCTTGAGTTTAAAGCATCTTATCTTTATGAAATTGTCTAAAAATTTTGTTATAAAATTAATTGAAATTTAGCAGCAGCACGAAAGTTTTTTTCACTTAACACAGGATCATCAATTAATATTTATAAATTGTAGGTTTCATTTGTATATAATAAATTTAATTTACAATTTATAAATATTAATATAAAAATTAATATACAAGCTCATATTTACTGTTCATATCATATCTTTTCATGATAGCATCTCCCTGTTTAAAGAAACCAAAAAAATCCTATAGGAAATTTGTTGTATTGGTTTTTACTGGAAAGTAAAAGCCAATAGAAACCAATAAGCATTTCTATTGGTATTCTAGAAGAACAAATTATTTAAACCAATAGACATCAATAAAATAATTTTCTGGTATATATATGCTAATGGTCAATGAAAGACAATTTAACTTCACAATGAATTTTTATTGGGATGATTACAACAATTAAAATGTTTGCAAATTGGCAAAATAAAATTAGATTTTTGATGTGACATTAACCTGTATATGCTATGATAAACTTATAATTATGTTTTCTCAATTATGTATGTTTCAATTCTGTAACATATTTTCAAAAGGAAGTTATAATAAACATGGAAAACCTTCTTTAAAATAGACCAACGTTTCTCAAAGTGGGCGATAACGCGCCCTTGTGAGTGCTGGAGGCTTTCAGGGGGGCAGTAGAAGGTTCAGTGATTAAATATGAGTTTTATTTCTTCTCATTGAAACATTCTTTGATCTCAGAAATAGGATATGGGTCACACCCTATCTATCCTATCCATATAATAGTGCAGTGTTTTTCAACCTGTGGGTCACGACCCCCAGGGGGTCGCAAAGCCTTACACGGGGAGTCGCAGGTAAAAGAAAAAGACAAGTGTTTGTAGGTCCTACACTACAATAAATAAAACTGCAATTTCAGTGGGAAGGCTTTGCGTTTTTATTTTAAAGTACAATTGGTTTTTTGATCGATATTTAGGTCTCAACAGAAAGAAAATTAAATATGTAGTTTTTAAAATCAATGATATAGTTTTAATATGACCCTGGGGGGGGTTGCCAGAATTTTTTTAACTTGTAAAGAGGCCGCGTATTCAAGAAGGTTAAAAAACACTAATAGCGCATGTTTAAACATTATATTTGCAATAACTGTTTTTAAGATATGCAATAGATGGTAATGTAAAAAAGTAAGTTAAAAATATGGGGGCACTAGATTGTTTTTAATCTCAAAGTGGGCAGTGGTCGAAATAAGTTTGAGAATCTGTAAAATAGACTGAATCATTTAAGTTTAATGTACTGTACTTCATTTCTGTGTAATGTTTATCTAAAACTTTTAATATTTGAAATGATAACAATTAAACTTCTTTTTGTTCAAGGATTTCTCCCACACCGCGTCATATAAAACAAAATGTGTGTTGTCCTTAACCTATATCCGGCGTGAAAACTCCAAACAAAGATTGGCAAACGCTTTTGATGCCTCTCCTAGGCTCTTCTTCAGGCCAAATTTATTGTACTGGATTCTTAAATCAAATGTTTTTAAATAAGAACATGCTCTGCTACTAGAAGTTCAAATAGGGAAGGTAATCACATGCCTTTCTGAATTATAATTTCTTTATAATTTATATTCGTGGAGATATGTTGTGCGCATCTTATAATAATCTCGTGTATCTTATAATCATGTGCCGTTTCTAAAAATAATTTTTAACTAATGGGGATATGATGTGCGTATCCCATAATAATCCTATAATCACGTGCTGTTTCTAAAAATAATTTTAACTAGTGGAGATACGATGTGTGCTTCCCATAATAATCCTGTGTATTGTATAATAAATTACAATTCATCATCTAATAAATACTGCCACGCTGTTGAGAGATTCATTTCTTCTTTAAGATTGATGCAGGTTAATTTGCAATCTGCTTTGTAAATCTCCATTGCTTCCAAAGTTCTTACATATTCCTGATGACGAGTGGTGTGGATGACCCATGCCTCATTAAAAATCGGGGTTATGTCCGGGTTTGTTGCATATGTCGACAATGCTGTCGTATATTTGTTGTGGGTGATATCCGCTTTATGTTCCTTTATCCTAGTGGCTAATGGACGTTTAGTGGATCCTACGTAAATTAGTTGCCTCTGCCATCTATTAAAAGAATGGTGTATATTCCCGGTAGTCTGTTTGGGTTATGAGCATCTTTTCCGTTTCGTAATAAATTATATATGGAAGGGTTTCTTCTGTATGTAATTCTAATTCCTTTTTTCTTTGCAATTGAATTATATATCGCTACCATCTGTGGGTTGTACGTTACAGGGACCCTTTCCATATGTTCTTTATCAACTGTTCTTGATGCCTTTTCTTCATCTGTTTTATTGTTTATGTGAAGGTGCTGATTACATAATTTGTTTATTATGTTGCCATAACCATGGTCTTTAGCAACTTCTCTAATATATGATAATTCTTGTTGTAGAGCGTAGGTTGTGGAAGAGTGGGTATAGGCCCTTCCTAACAAAGACTTGAATGCCGCTATTTTGTAAGAGTATGGGTCACAGGAATTGATGGGTATGTATGATGGTATAGTTGTAGGTTTTCTATGAACTTTTGTCTGTATTGCTCTTTCTTTAATTTCAATTTCTATATCCAAGAAGTGGATTTTTTCCTCACTATGTTGCTCCAATTCCAAATAAAGGCCATAAGGGTTGTTGTTCATGGCTGTCTTAAATTGTCTTAGGTCTGGAGGTGTTTTCCAGAAAATTATAATGTCATCTATATACCTACCATACATGATTATGTTTGGGAGAAAGGGTGGTAGGGTTTTGGTTTCTAACCCCTAATTACCATTTCGCACAAGTCCCCAGATAACAGACTTCCCACGGGTACTCCTCTTTCTTGTGCATATGTGTTTCCTTGTATAGTTGTATATTAAGTGTCATATAGTGTGGACCATAAAGATATTCTATGTCCTTCACAAACTTATTAAGTTGAAAATTTGCATATTTAATGTCTTGTTCTGATAAATTTTCTTACAAAAGAATATAAATGGCCTCAACTAGATATGCAAAATGTTTGCAATATTTTTTGGGTATAAATTCTTGAATGCAAGAAACACTATAGAATAGAAGCCAAATCTTCATTCAGTTGCTTTCTAATATTTACAATACTTTAGAAAACTTGGCAGTCTAGAATGACTGCCAAGTTTTCAAGTACTACAAGTTAATCATTTGATGGATGAATTGAATTGTAGTGCTCCACATTAATTGTGTTCCTTCCTTTCTGTCTGAGTGTTCTCTTCACTCTTTAATTCTATCCCATCTT